ACAACAACTGACATCTTGGCCTGACTGAAATGACTCACTGCAAGTCTAGATCACAAATTTCTCCAAAAACAAATATACAACAATAAACAATTTGCCCGAGTCCACATTTTAAACATGTCGTAACAGATTTTTACCATCTTAAAACAGAGCTACTCCATTTTAAGCAGTTTGTAGTCGTACGAATTTATTCTAAGCATCATAGTTATTCACCACTATGAGTTTCTGAGCACTTTTCAAAACTTTCCGAAACCACACTACTAAATGCTCACAACAACTACCATGCTAACACGCACTTTATGATTCTGACATATTTTGTAGAGAGAGGCCTGAAATCTCCAACAGAGGCCAATATTTTGTTTTGTATGGTCTGCTGCGTAAAAACTACACACAAAGCTTTATTTGAACACTTTAATGTGAAGAGATAACTGCACAAAATGTGACTATCCTGCTCTTTTATAAGTTTGTGGTAAGAAAAAAGGGGGCTGTGGGTGAGTTTGTAGTGAATTTAAATGTCAGAATTTGAGGATAATAATCAAAATTGGTCCAATATTTCGGCAGAGCTTATCATTTCCTCTGGATTCCAAACAATTTGTATCAATCGATCACTAATATTTTGACCTCAAGAGCTGCTAAAATAATACATGTGTACTGGGGCAATACAAATAGCGCACATGGGGAGAAAAAAAAAAAAAAGCAGATACAGACACTTTAATTTCTCAATTTGTCCTTAACCGGCATGCTATAAGGAACAAGTCTGAGCTGGCTGCCAACGCTAAGCGGAGTGTATTAATATTTAAAGGCACATGCAAATTCCGCCATGTGGGCAGTGTTTTCAAAGTGGCCGGGTCACGTTCGGCTGATTTGGATAAATATTACATGATTAGTGTTTAATGGAGGCATATAGAAACATCTCATCTTCATTGACCCCTGGCCTGAGAATTAGAGCAACTTCAACTGCCCCTGTAAAGCACGGGGAAAGGGGGGTGTATAACTCTTTGTATAGACATTTGGACATACAGGCCAGTATACGGTTGAACAATTAAGAGTCCAGTACCCAATTTTTTCCATGTAATTGAGCATAATTTGGCAAGCCCCAGTTGTGTAATATCTGCATCTTAAGCATTTTATTGTTCGATCATGGAAGTGCAACTGTTCGCATGCTAGTTGTTGTTACCGTTAAAACTTCGCTTCTGACAGTTGTGAAAAGTGCTTATAAACTCATCACAGTGAATAATTAAGATGCTCAGAATGCGTAAGGTAAGTGAGCATTAACTTTGGACCACTGCAAACCGTCTGGACAGTAAATAAAAATCCAGTAGAGCACTTTTTATTAAATTTTAATTGAGACAGAGATTCAGTCATTTCTAATTTTCAATGATTAGTTTGGGCCTTTTTAATCGAGAGGTCTACAGTCAATCCTCTGTTAGTAAAAAGATATGGTTTGGAGCAGAGTTTAGACTTAGTAGGAAAATGGCAGCGATGGCAATGTGGCTGTATTGTTTATTTTAAGGAAATGAAAATAGAAAGTTTTTTATTTTTTAGACCAAAGACCAAAATTGGAATTGAAAATCATGATCAATCAAAATACTATGTTGCCCAGTCAAGCCAAATACATTTTAGGCAACTATTTAATTCCTTATTCCTGATAGAGCACTGTAGTTTCTTACTTATAATTGTTTAGTTTTTCAGCAATTAGTGTGTACATCTGTCAGTCATATTCTGCACTCAAATGAATGAAATATCAAATTAAAATCTCAATTTGAATAGTAACAATTTGCAAGTCAAAAAGGCTGCAATTGTTTAGATACTATAATGTCCTGAGTAGTGAACGAATGAAAAAACAGACGTGAATCATGCAGTACTGTAAAACATTCCAGTGTTTCACATTACATATAGGAGAAGACGATGACCCCACATATTCTAAAATAGTCCTGCATAGTCTAAAATAAACTGGACTACATATTGGCATAGCAAAATTAGACTTTGTTGCTCAGTGCATTACAGGGTTCCCACTCTTTTTCACTGACAAAATTTCAAAAACTTTTTCATGATTTTAATGACCTAAAGTGAATTTTCCATTACTTTACGGCACACTACATGTGTAGAACTGATCATACTTTTAGGGATAAATATGAAATGTTAACCCTTTCCACTCACATTATGATTTGGTTTTATAGTTTTTTGACATTCAAAATACTGTCAGTGCATTTATTGTAATTTCTTTTAAACAAAAGGTGCATACGCTCGGAAATAATCATAATAGCCTAATGATAACTCATCAGAATGAAAAAGTTACTAAAATTCCATTACTTTTCCAAAACTTTCATTGAATTTACAAAATTCCATGACTTTTCTTGGCCTGGAAAATGACATTGTCAATTTCCATGACTTTTCCAGTATTTCCATTACCGTGGAAACCCTGGCATTACTATAAACTAATAAAAGAGACTACACTGGATAAAAAATTACTATTTAAAAATTAAATATACACAGTGAGTGACATTTAAACTTCACAAACTGAATAAGATTTTTTTTTTTTTAAATCATAGACAAAAGACAAAATCTATAGGAAACAAATCTGAATGCCAGTAGCCAAGTTAAAAATATGAACTGTGAACTGAATCTGGATTTTAACATTATACAAGACAAGACTGCACTACTCATGAGCCAAATCATAATTAGATATATTTACATGACAAGTTATTACAAGTTGACAACTTAATAGTCTTGAGAAGATAACATTTGATTAAATATAGTGTTAAGTTGGTGTGAAATATGTCAATCAATTTATAAATAATTACAATCTCAAGTTTCACAAGCAAATCACAAAGGCTTCAAGTGTTGTCATGTGTTTTTGTACAAACGAGTCATAAAATATTTTGGCTACAAGTATCACCAGGGCATCAACAAAAACAGGACTAAACTCTGGCTTATTTTTTCTAAATTTGTCTACTCGTAATAAGAATCGAAATCAGATCAGTGATCCAGGTAAGCACCACAGTGGTCCATGGGCATATACTAGTCTATGTGCTCTGATACAGCTCAAGATCATTCTAAAACTGTTCAGACAAGGTTTATTTCTGTCTTGTGAATGTGAATCATCAACTATCTAGATTCGATAGTAGTTTTAATATTGTTTAGTATATGATTTTTGATACTTTTGACAACACTAAACCACTCTTTTTCACTTCACAATTTCACATTTTTCCCAAATTTGTCTCCTAATATGAAAATCAGGTCTTCTCAATCCAAAATAATTGCTAGCTTTACGACAAGGCAACCAAACCAGTCAACCAAAACATATTGATAAAGCACCTCACACACCATCAATAACATACGCTGAATAGCTTTTGCTGAATTTAAGCTTTTATGTAAATAGCGTATGTAAAATTATGCAAAAACATCCCTCTATGTGATAACAAATGCAAATGCTTGCTGCATATGGAAACTTTGCGTATTTTACTCGCAAGCTATTTCTCTGCAATGTTAAATTTTTACATAAATAGTACAGTATCCTCTTATAATATCTTAGTAAATTGCGCTTGTACAAGGTGAAAATCAAATATTAAAGTCTGGCAGAATCTTGCATAGCAGGTTTGTGACATTTACAGAAACTATGGCACAGGCATGCTGCACTTCTGGTTAACTGTACTGTATGAGGAACTGCAATATTGTTGTTTATACAGAAAAGAGTTGACAATGAGCTTAGTATATTCCTCTTTCATACTGTGAGTTAATCTATGAACATTTTTCTTTATAAGTCACTTTGTTTATTTATTCTGTCAATATGCTGTACTGTAGAACCAGTTATACCCACTTACTGAGCAGTTTTGTAATCTTATAGTTCCAGTCTGCTTGCACAATGTTGCATTTGACAGTATTATTATAATTTTTACTCCTTTGTGTGTCTTAATTTTAAAAGTACGTTTAAATATTGTAGTATTTTTGTTGCATATTTTTTTATTCTAATGTTCTTATACTTTGTTTTCCGATCCTAAACGTTCCCCGTTGTGGGACAAATAAAGGAAAGCTATTCTAAAGGAAATGTCTTATTATTCAAAGTAATAAATGTTTAGAAATTATTTATATGTGTCTGTTGATTTAAGAAAGAGAAATTATGTATGACAACAACGTACTACACCTGATATTCAATATGTACTAAGGGTCTAAGGGCTTTTAAATAATAACCTAAATGCTTTAACAATTCCTTTGTTTTGTGAGAATAACATGTTGAGACGAGTTTAAAAATGAAACGAAAGAGTAAAAATTACATGCTAGTCTATTTAACAAATCCATACAACCTAAAATAGTTTCTCATTTTGGGTTAATATACTTGAGACAATTGAGACTGCATCCTAGAATCTAATGTGAAATGTGCACCACATGACTTAGCTTAATTCACAGTTAGAACATTTTGTTTTTAAATTAATCTCTTGAGAATGAGGACACTGAAATAAAGAAAATTACTTAAAATGCATCCATTATAATGAATAAAAGTCATGGCAGAGTTGAGGTTAAAAACTTCAACCTACTCTGAATTAATTGTTAAGTAAAATATCTGCTCAATACCTATAATAACACATTTCTTTTCATGCCACATAACAGTATTTTTATAATAATGGATTTTAATCATTGTCCAATCGCTAATTAATGCGTAGCACTGATTTAGACGCGTTACGCACAGATAGTACAGAAGTCACGTCAAAGTTCCGATCAAACTCGTGTCTTTGCGAACTTCATCCCATTTGAAAACATTGCCACGTGAAATAGCACACTTATTAACAATCAATTCATCTTTACGCTTACGTCTTCTAAACACACACGCATTTTGGCAGCACGCTGAGTTCACGTTACCGCTTCTCACTTCAAGAATGTTTGGCACTTTTGGCACCACGTCTCCAGGTCAGTTTTGCGCCTAAATTTCTCCCCGCATCCCAGCCTCCTTCCCCCGGTAAACAGCCTCGTTCGCCCCGGTGCTGTGTCGGTGCAGAGTTGCCTACCTCGGTGCGCGCTTGCAGCCGCTTGTTCATCTCATAGATCCGGTACTCCGGCTGGACCATGTAGGGCGAGTGCCTCCGGTAGAACGGTCCGAACGGGGACGAGTAGAAGGGGTCGTGGCTCGGGTTGGACATGGTGGTAGTAGCGGTGGAGATGGTCGCGGAGCTCGTCGGGGTTTCAGCATCCAGAAGCGGGCACGGCCGTGGCGGAGGAGCGCATGGGAGCGGAGAGCGCGGCGGTCGGGTCAGGTCTGGCGAACGGAGGGAAGGCTGAGAGAGAGAACGACACAGAGAGAAAGAGGAAGAGAGAAAGAGAGAGAGAGCGAGATTGGAGTTCCACCGCGGAGAGAGGAGAGCAGCAGTCGCCGAGGCTCAGCTGCACTGTGCCAGGCTGGCCCCTTCGCTCCGCCGCTATAGCGTGGAGCCCGGAGGAGGAGGGAGAGACCGGAGGGAGGAGGAGGGAGGGGGGGCCGAGTGAATGTGGTGTGGTGCGGGGTGGTGGTGGTGGAGGAGGAAGAGGAGGAGGAGGAGGGAGAGTTTCCTGTTCCCCGAAGACCCACGCGCGGTTGTTCGGAGCTCTCCTGCAAAGTTCAAGTCGAGACGAAGAGAGTGAGTGCGCGCTGCATGTGCGGAAGAGAAGGCTGCTCTGCTCTGCGTCGCGCACCACAATGTCGCTTTGGTTTTTAGTAGCACAACCGAGCTTGCATATCGTCAAAGTGCGTGTTTTCTGTGTGAAACGCACTGCAATAGGACTTAAGTTACATGCAACGTTCATTCTTGCAATAACATAAAAACTAGGGCTACATCTGTTGTTGATATTGAAGGCTTAGAATAAAAAAAAAAAAAAAAGCGCAATGGTTTTCCAATAACAGCAAGAAAGAAAAAAATGTCAAACGTATTTTAAGTTTAACCTATTTTCCATAACACCTAAACTGACAAAAACAAAAAGGTAAATTAATTGTTACCCCAATGTAAACTTCTATGTAAAAACTTTTTAAAGTGACAAATGTAGGCCTACTTACTTTCTTGGAGCACGTGTGGTCGGATAATGGCGCCAAGTTGAGGGTCTACTTTCTTCCATTTACTGCACTGAAATATAGCCAAAAAAAACGCAATTCTCATCCAGGGTATACTTTATATTTATTTTATATGTAGTTATTCGACTTTAACGTTGAAAATATCAAGACGAGAAAGGAATAACATACACATTTTATTTTCGTTGCTCACCTGAAGTCCAAGAAGCGCGGTTAGCCTGGGCACATGACAATTAGGACCAGCAAGGACCTATGAAAGTGTCTTTATCTGCCTGTATGGGTCTTCTGCATATCTCCTGAATAAAACTTTCTAGTGCTCAAAAATCCTTGATACAAATAATTAAATAAATAGTCATAAATTGTAGTAGTAATATGGTTGTTACAAAATAATTAGAAGAAATCATATTACTAATTGGTCCAGTATTTAAAGGTTCTGTATAAGGCAAAATTGACTGACGTGAGCTTTAAGCCAGGTTAAAATGCTGTTACCTCATCAAAAACATACCCGAAATTTTGTATTACTGTATTATTAGTCTGTCTACTAGCCAGGCTGGCGCCACCTAGTGCCTTGTTATGATTTTAATGTATTTCTTATTCTGTAAAGCACTTTGAATTACTTTGTGTACGAATTTGCTATACAAATAAACTTCTTGCTTGCCTCCACTCAATTTCATTTCTCTCCAGCGACTAGGTCAGGAATCGGAATACACTAGACGGTTTGCAACTACACCGGTGCGAGTCTGGGCACCAACCAATCAGCGAAGAGCCATACAGTCAGTGTTGGCAATGATTCTCGAGATTGAGTGTTTAAAGCCGAAACAAAGAGAATGTTTGGTGAACTTTATTAAGGGGAAAGAAGTTATTACCCTTCTTCCTACGGGATTTGAGAAAAGCTTAATATACCAGTTAGGCAAATAGCAGCGATTGGTTAAATAAAAAAATGTACTTGCCTACCATCAAGCTAACAAATTCTAACACTGCGAGGTCAGACAGTTTCTACGAAATGAAACCGGCAGATGAATCAGGCTAACTGTCTATGCCTCTCAGGTTCAAAATGCTCTGTTCCACCTTGTGATGTCATGAAGTGATAGTTTTCAAGTTAACAGCTGTCCTTTTGCCTTTCGTTTAGTAAAGATTGGATATTACAACAACTAAATATGCAGGGTTTGTGTGTTAAGCATGTGGAAATGAAGCAAAACTCAACTCCAGGTATGTTTGTGGTGAGGAAATAACACTGTAACATAGACAGAAAATGAAATATGGGCCCTTTAAAGGAGTATCAAGGTATTTTGGCACATAGCCTATAACTTCCATCTAAACCATATTCTGTAAGATCTCCCTCCATGGGCTATTACTCTGGCTATGATTGCACTATCACCATAAATGTTATTCAGAATAACACAGATAAATAAGGAAGAGGAAGGAATAAATATTTAATCAAAAACTTAGGTTGAGTGATGGAAGACAATTTCACCAAGGTGCATAATGTAACCTATCTGATGCGGATGCTGTGGACCATCATCTCCTTGTTTCCATAGAGCTGCTTTTCCTTTTTCCCATGCTTTGCCTTTAATGTTCCACAGTACCACTTTAAAGGTGCACTGTGTAACTTTTCTGGTGGAGGGTCTGCCATCTGAATCCGTCTCCATGAAGCTCAAAATTCCCTTTTTCAACTTGTCATGTCATGTAGTGGTAGTTTTCAAGTTAACAGTTACTTTTTATATTTTTTTTTCAGTCAAGATTGGCAATTCCAAGGCTAAAATTATTGAAATGATTCTAGTGAAGACTTATGGAGTTTAAAAGCAGAGTGGAGTGCTTCCCACATGACATCACAAGGTGGGATAGAGTGGTTTCAAATTGAGAGAAGAACTCGGCCTGAACATGTGTGAATGAAACAAAACACAATTCCAGGTATGCTTTTGCAATGAAGAAACAACATAGCGTAATAGTCCAGTATGTCTGAGTTTTCTTATAAAAAATTTAGTCCTAAGTTATTTATTCCCTTGCCTTATGCGTTTTGAGCATCCTAATTTTTCACTGTGATTAGTTTATGAGCACTTTTCACAATTCTGGGATCAAAAGCTAAAACAACTAGCATTGAAATGTGTACTTCCTGATTATTGACCTTTCTTGTGATGTTATTGCTTTGTCTGGGATGTTTAAACAAATATATGTTGTATTTATTCAATTACAGGGGTTTTTGATTCTCAGAGCTACCTCAAAAACATGCATTATTACTGGGAGCAGGTCCACTTCTCCACAGATCTGACCCGTGATTTGGCCCAGTGATGTCCTCCATGGAGATAGTTAAATTAAATGTGACACTGTAGATCATTTCAGGGTAAAAAACAACAACATGGGGTCGAAGTGATAGATCCTCTGCCAGAAAGGTCACACAGTGCACCTTTAAATAAACAATTTGCATCTTGCATTTGTTCAGTTCATATTGCTGTTTTTATTGCTAAAATGCCTCATTCTGATGGGTTGCCTCTCCACAGATCTGACTCGTAACTTGTGAGCGGGGTAGTGGTGGCGTCACCGCTTTGTCTGCAAGAAGAGAGATGAGTTAATGCCATTCAGTGAAACAGCAGGCACAATAAAATCGCCATGGAGACAAGGAGTTAATGCCAGTGCAGAAAATAGTCTCCTGAAAAGTTACAGTTCAGACAGTAGATTTACAGTAACCTTTCAGAAGAGCAGCACCACTGCCCCAAGAGGACAAACTGAGAACTGCAGGAGAAGATAAGACGCCTGTATTGATCAGATTATGCTCTTAATGTTGTCTGGAAGTATAATGAGTAATACATAGAACTGCATTTGTATATAGTTTTTATCATAATTTAATAACATTTTATCACTTATATGTTTAAATGGTTATATTCAAGGCAGGTATTATATTCACAAGAAAATTCACAAAAGTTGAAATATTTTTATGTATTACAGTCTACGCCAGTCATCCTGTAATAAAGTAATATTTGCAACAACAATGGACATTTTTCCTCTGTATCTAATTTTAAAGGCACTGTACCAATTTTTACTGCATTTAAAATGAAATGCGAAAAACGGGATTTGTTCATTTTAAACTATTTGCAGTGGTCCAGAATTCTTCCTCACTTACCTTACGCATCTCGAGCGTCCTAATTATTCACCATAATGAGTTTCTAAGCGCTGTCCACAACTTTCAGAGCCCAGATTGGAGTTTTAACCTCAACTAGCAAGCTAACATGCTCTTCCTGATTCTCAGACAATATAAAAGTGTTCATAATTTGATACAGGGGACAAAACCTTTTAACACAATATGAAAATGGCTCCTGCGTAAATGTTTTATGCTTTTGTGTTTTAGCCAAATCTATAGTCGCAACTGCAATTCCACAAACACATAAGCCTTACATTTCTCCTTGGGGATTAATAAAGTGAATTGAGTTGTGAACATCTACAGTAGCCCTGAAGGGACATGCTAACCAAGTGAACATATTGATATATTGATTTCTCTTTCCATGGATCTCTTAAATCTTTATGGGAGACAATGTATTAAAATCATAGAATACAACATTTTTTCTTTGCCCTCAGTTTGACCTCACAGGCAAATTTGAGGACAGTAGAATAATTAATGTTGAATTATACTTATCATGATTATTTGTGTAAACACTTTCCACACTGGCATAGCGGTTAGTGCAACTGCCCTTTACTGAGGAGGTTACGAGTTTGATTCTAAGGCCAGACACTTCACATTTTGTTCCAGATTCTTTCTTCTATCTCAGCCTACATAGTGAATATTAAAAGTTTGCTGCAGTTGTTGGTTACGTGAGAAAGTCAGAAATGTAAAGATGATTTAAAGGTGCACCGCGCAACTTTTCCAGTCTAGTTTGTCTCCATGGAAATGTTATTGCTTTGTCTAGAATGTTCCACAGTATAGATTAAACTTAACTATCACGAGGTAGACAAAGAGGTTGCAGCACAAAGCTACATTACAGTTCAGATCTGTGGAGAGTCACCCCTGTTCACAGAAGGAATTTTTGAATTTCTGAGCAATGGAAACACTTGCAATGTATAAATGCTAGATGAATATTTTTAATGTCATATCCTGGAACATTTCAGGCAAAGCAATAACATCTCCATGGAAACAAGCAGGCAGCCATTTAGTTTGTTAAATGACGCCTCTAAGCAAAATTTTTTTTGTTTTGCCTATAAAGCTCTACCATATAACTTTTAACATTTTTTAAATCTTTTATTTAGATGTTTTTATTTCACAAAAAAACTGAAAAATGCGTGTCACACGTGCAACAACAAAAACCTGGCTCCTATTTGGTTTGGAGGACTTCCTGATCCTGATTTTATT